TTTCTCTCTCTTGAAGATAAAAAATCAACAAAAGCTTTCAATGAAAATTAATTTTTAATCGAGAATTATAATTTTTGCTTTGACGTATCAGTATATTTGAAATAATTTTATTCCACCTAAAAAGCACTTCATATAATATCTATGTCAGATTTTCATTTTTCACTATGGCCTGGCCTCATATGGTGACGGTTTTATAGCCTAATCGCATAAAGTAAGTAGTTCAGTCTCTCTTCAAAATATATGAAATATATTTACTCTATTTTATTTAAGGTGATGAAGGACTGGTAGTTGAATTTTCCCGCAATGATATGAGTAGAGCTGACGTTTCTATTGAATTTCACATAGCCTTGCTAGTCATAAGGTTTTCTCATCGTAGCTGGAGTAAACTGCAGTTTCGGCCTCGCCTAGGTCTGATCAACACTCCTACCTGGAGTCGAGCTATGACGGTGCAGTGTGTAGCCTCCAAACGTCATCCACTGCGCCACTTTGCTACATGTGCCTTTGGGTCACAGGTCAGATTTGAATTTCAAGGAAGGCCAGCCATTTTCCCATATCACATTCTTTGATGTGATAGTCCATGGAGCAAATTATATTTGCTCTAACAATCGATTACATTACTCATTCTTTGTTTATAAGTAGGGTTTCGAGAATACCAGTAAATCAGTTATATGGTCATACAGTTGTCTGAATTTCAGATGCTTTTAGTCAGAGCCAAATAATCCATTTATGACTGAGATAAATCGCTTTTGACCAATTCATTGATACTTGATTACCTTATCAATACAAGTATAGAATAAGTGTGAAATACTATCACCTTACATTATTCTATTAATTGTCGCAGGATGCAAGATTTATCAATTGCCTAATCTTTGGTAATTATACCAGGATTGTATGGCCTTTATTTTGATTATAATCTCCTTATGCTGTATATAATTTATCTGACCTCGCTCTCAAACTTATACGTTTTATTAAGGGGACTTCAAAGAGCGCATGTTTTACTACATTCTCCACAAAGTTAGTATGTGCTGGTACGGCAACGAATCATTAGATGAGTATATTTCCAGATGTTTCTTCTGCATCCTAGTCGATATTATAGTGATCATCATGGATCAACACTATAGCTAGCAATAAGATAAAACTCATCAAAATGACCAGTAAAGCCAATATTCTCGACGATTTTTCCGCTACAATTCATATCTCCTAGTCTTAATCCTCAACCCTCACTCCAACTAACAAGGAATAAATCTCCTCTCTATTCTGAATTGTGTTGTTACATATTCCGATTTACTCCAGCTGTTCCCCCACTTGAGCCATATAATAGAAACTTATTTACCTTTATCACCAGTTTCCGATTGCTCTAGTTCTGCTTATCGTTAGGGTTTGCTACTCTCATTAGGGACTTATCTTCCCATAACCTTTAGCAGTTTGACCCTTCATTCTCTCGATAATCCTATTTTATCTGGGGAATCCGGAACAGTATGCTCGTCAGAGGGTATGGTGGGCTAGTGATTAGGTTAAATTTTTTCCCAATTATAATAATGCACTCCTTAATCTTATCTTTACAAACGAGAGAATTTAATTTATTAGGAAGAAGACTTATTCATGTGTCATTTGTGTGAAGACTAAGAAAACGACATAAAAAGTTAGACGGTACTTGGCTATATTTAGAGGAGAAATGGCGCAACCATTCCAAATTAAATCAGTCAATGAACTGAGGCCGGAAAAACAGGATAACAATTACAGAGGAGGCAGTATACCCTGCGTGCCTAGAATTTCTCTCAAAAAAAATAATTTGTGAAGACGAGGTCTAACATATTTATCCCCTGATCTAGTTGGGTTTCGGTGTTTAACCTATTTAGTTTGGTTTGAAGCTTTATTTAGTTTATCATCTAAACTCTATTAGGCTATATCAAAGCCTACATTATTGATGTCAATATTATGCAATAAATAAATACATTTTGGTATTTAAACTAACAGCCAGACCAGGCTGTGTTAAATGAAGTCTACGAAAATATAGCGGAGACCTACAAAGTCATTGAAGGCTCATCCGACTCACGATCCAGTCTCAATCCCATTCAGTCTCCTCAAGATCTACTAGAAACTTCAAACGAGGTGTACGGCCTAGCCGAGAATCAGGTTGGACACGATAAACAGTCTCTTCAGCAAGCGCGGGATCTCACCCTACAGAAGGTTGTACTATCACCGACCTTCGTTTGCGGTGGAAAGGAAGCCAACCGAATGAGTTCTGCGTATTCTGATACGGAAGCCGAATGCACTGCAGCAGTTTGTCTAGAGAATTCAGATTCGGGTCCTCCTTTTATGCTCACCTGCGAAGTCCAGACTCAATCGGCAGCAGCCGACAACTTGCACTCAAACAGGACTAGAAATTTGTGCCAGGGCTTTCCAAGCAATAATACAATAGTAAGTAATCAAAATTATAACTCAGAATTGAATCGCAATCAACTTATATTAACTCAAAAAGTTTATGATAGTTGTCAAGACTTGAGTCTAGGGAATTTTGGAGGTAACTTGGATTCGAGTCAAGATACAAGTGCATATCTATTTGGGTCAAATCAGCTGATTAATTTTAGTCCACAGGATTCCAGCCTTGTTTTTTTCTTGTAGTCCGGTAGAGAGGATTCTGCTGAATTTAAAGGAACTATCTACACTGATCCGTCGCATCTATCCATCACTCCAAGAGCCAGGCCTGAGCCCAATTATGATGGCCAATTTTTCGACGATGGAACTGCACGTGACTTCACCTTACCTTGGCAACCAGGCGGTCGGTTCCCCATGCAGACTGCCCTTAATGTGGTAAAAAATCACCTAGCAGAACCTCGAAAAGGAACAGAACTATCGCCAACCCGGCCTACTCCTCTGTTACCCCTTCCACCACCTATCGGTTGTGTTTCACACTGGCATGAAAAGGTCAGCCAGTCTTCCACGGGCAGGCAAGATGAGCTGTCTAATGAAGATATGGCCTCAGCCTTCTCCGAGTGGTTGAATTTGCTGATTACTAAACATCGTTTTTGTCTGGATACCTGGGACCAGTGGGCAGAAGATCTTGCGGAAGCCGAGAAAAAAGCAACTCGCCGTACAGGACAGAAAATTAATGTGGTCAGATTCACATACAATCCAGTAAGCATGACCATTCGTGCAAATATTTTAGCATTTTGATAATAACGTTTGAAGCTAACAGCATAAACTTTTATCTTTGTTCTTCATTATATAGTAAGGTTATCTTCATAGTAATTTTTGATCTGGAGTTCTGACTCCAACTAGAGCCAGCTTATACCTTTATTAACTAGCATTTATGTATATCAAATCACCATCTACAGTTTACGCGTATTGCAGTCTGTGCAAGCCGATTCCGAACAAAGTTTTTTTCTGATGAGCATATAGAAGGAGGAAGGTATTCACCTGATTTCGCTTTGGTTTTCCAAGTCCTGACAAATAAGGAAGCCTTTTCATGAAAGTCATTAAACATTAGTCTTATTTCCCCAAAGCCATTGCCATCCATGTTCAAACACCAACCCTCCGAGAAAGTTAAAGTATCTAATTTTATAGAATGTATTACTGGGATTTTATTAACTTTCAATTTAGTCAAAGATAGACAAGCTGATACCATTCTATATATTCTAATTTTACCACCATTCCTTCTTTCAAAAAATAGTCGAATTAGTACGGAAGTGGGAGATAAAAACAGTGTTTAAAGAAACCCTCACACTTTCTTCTATTATGTAAGCTTTTAGAAAGAAATATTTCTCATTATCGAGATCCGGCTGCTACAAGATTGTTTGCTCATGTGGTCGATGTTACGTTGGTGATACATGCCGATCTATTCGGCAAAGATTGGGAGAATACAAAAATACTTGTAAAGGAAGCTGGGTCCAACGGTAAGAAGTGGCCGAACACGTGGTTGAAAATGTGCATGAAATAAAGTGGTCTCAAACTAGTAGGCTTGCTGATTTTGATACGTCTGGTTAAAACAAAGATAAGAGAGGCCATTGAAATTAATAGATTAGGAAACACGTCGAATGTGAAGAACGGTGGTAGAAGGTTAGGTAGGAACTACTTATGCTTGATTGAGAGATTGAAAGTAGAGAGGTCTTGAACCGCCATCCAAAAGATGGTGACCAGAATAAAGATACTTAACAAAACCACTCTATATCGATCTATGTTTTTAACTTTTCTTTTGCTTAAATGAAACTACATAGGAGGTAAGATAGAATCGGATACTATTCTTGTCTTAGTCTTAATTGAGACTTTTACAAGTCTCAGCTTTGATGATGTTCGTCAAATGATAGACGAAAGCTCAGCCCGTTTTCACTTGAAAAAGGAGTAGGTCATGTAAACTGCATTAATCTCAGTGTCGTATAAAAGCCAAACGGTCAGAGTATAACGGGGTTCAACCGCTCTCTTCTGGTGAGATCGACCCTCGGATCTCTTCTTCATACATTTTCATACGAAATGAACCTCCCAACAATAACTTTTAATCAAACTATAATTATGGCGACATTGTAGGCTTTACATTATTTCACTCAAATGCACCCAATTTTGATATACACAATAAACCTACTTTAATCTTATTAAATGGGCATCAAATATTGTTGCCCTAAGGCCTCTGGCCATGACTAAATTGTATCGTTAACTTGAATAAAATTTACACCTTAAACACTTAAGACCTTTGTTTTAAGAATTTGTAATGCCTACTCTTGTATACCACTGGTATTATTACTATTATCCCTTATTTATTAAGAGCGTCGAGAAAAAAACCTAAATTTTCTCCCAAGCCACATCATGCCTTTCCAAATTGTCTAGCACTTCCATTAAAGAGTGGTGTATAACTCATACCAAGACCTTCTTAGTAATATAAGACGTCTCCAGATTTCTCAAATTTTCGGCCTGCTCTGTTCTTGATTTCAAGAGCTCGGGTGTTGTACATAGTGTTAAGGCAAACAGAGTCATTACTATTTGAGTAGTTATTTTAAAGGTCATCCATCCTGTAAGTATTCTTCTTTTGGTTTTGTAACGATTCCATGTAAAACGTAAATCCTTTTCACCACGAAATGACTTGTTATAAGCCTCCATTGAGGCTCAGAGTTGCAACGTTTATATAGCCAGAGACAATAAAACCTAAAACCCCTTAGTTAGATTTAGATAGATATTTATTGTTATCACATGGTACTGGATCGATGCATTAACTGCTGTCTTCCAATTATCTAAATAACTGTAGAGTGTATAAATTTACATCCTCATTACTTTTATTTCACCTTGCCTTCTATAATTTCACTACACTGGATGATAATAGCCAGGGGGTACGAATTATTAAGTAATAGTATCTTCGATTGGATTATCTAAACCTCTAATTGATTTACATTCTCTTGCATCATCACTCCCCATGTATCTAAGATAAAGCCCATTGTTGGGATTTCAATTTCTTTAAATTCGCTGATACCCAATCGAAGGTCAAAATTTTAATTTATTGGTCCGTTGGTTTCATGGGGTTTGTTTAATATCACATTAGATAAGGCTAATTTGATATTTTTCCATCTTTACTATTTATCATGAGTAGCCAGGGGTTCTGCGCTATTTACTTGATACTGCCTTAGAAGGAATGTCCTCATATTCTTTGCAATTAAATAATATAAACTTCAAGTATTCTACTTCATTCGATGAATCACAAGGCTAGCCATATTTTCATAATTAAGGGAGGTAGATAAATTACCCCTACGCATCCGACAATAATTAATTTATGTACAGGGTAATTTTTATGGATTCACATTTCACTTAATAAAAGACTTTTATCATGCTAACCAGGGCCTAGTTTATGGTGCCTCTGTTTGTTAGGGTTTTGCAGTAGCTATCAGCGAGCCTTTATTATATTTATCCTTAAGCGCTTGAATACTCGCCAGTATTAAAATTCGTACTCGGCCAATTTTTTAAATGATTTAATTTTTCTGTATAACTAATTAGTATTTTTGGTAGATTTAAGTAATAACTTTACTTACCTCCTATCACGCAAGAAGGGGTAACTAATGTTTTTGTTTTCCCATCTTGAAGTGTGTATACCTCACGATACCATTGGATGGATTAGAGAAACTTTTGGAAGGCAAAACTATTTGATATACAATGACATTTTGATGCTTTCACATTAATTTGTAGGAAAATGTAACTGAATCGTCTTAAGATATAATTTATCAAAAGCTCTTAAAGACTTTAGACAAGATCCTAAGAATATCTTGAAGTTTATGAGAGTAGTATTAAACCTGAACAATTGTTATATTCTAATGTATTTCACTTGTAATGGATTATTACTTAGTCGACCCATAGACAATCTAAGATAGCAACATGAGTATTCTTCTCTTTGGCATACAGAGTAGTAGTGACCTCTAACTTGATTTATCCCAAGGCGCCTGTTAATTCAAAAACCTAACTCGATACTATTTTATCAGAATTTTGTTCGCCTTTGGCTTTCAACTAAATCTTTGAGGCATAGTTCTTTCTGATATTATAACATATCAATTGTAAACAATTTTATCATATGTATATATATATACTAACATACTTGAACGTATACGTTTGGAGAGAAAATTGGTCAAGAGGATTGCCTTCACTTGTCACTCTGATAAGTTATATCTCTGTGTTTAGAATGGCACCTCTTACTTACAATGCCGATTACGATGCCAGCGAAGTGTTTAAGAATGTGTCCATCCAATGATCCAATGCTGAAAGCCATGAATAATATGTTAGAGGGCATGATACTAGGTAGATTCCACAAGGTCTTCCTGACGCTCCGACTAAGTTGCGAAGGCAAGGTCGAACCAACACTAGTTAACATATTGTTTTGGTTAACCAAGTTTTCTTTCTTCTATTTCGCGCCGCCTTGCAATGATTGTCTTTCTATTGTTGGAAGGATTTTCATTTCGTATGAAAGTGCTGCAGTACAACGGGCTTCATCCGTCTTCTTCTGGTGAGATCGACTTGCAACTCTCTGTTTCATATACTTTCATACGAAATGAAAGTTCCCTCAACAATGTTATCGCAGAAGGTTCATCGAAACCCAATTTCTCTTTTTATCTACAGTCTTTCTATTGTCAGTCCCTCTTACTGTATTCAGCCTCTTGGACACTTGGTAATACTATTTTTTCTTTTCTCTCTATGTTTCGGGACCAACACATTTGCAGTCGTAGAGTGCAAGCATTTTATATACGAAGAAAAGTTGGGTTTCGAGGAATCTCTTGTTTGATAATTGTTGG